GGGGTGAACGAGCCTGGGGTGCTAGTACAAATTCAGTCAAGTTGAAATGTCACGGTTTTTTTTTTTTTTTTGGCTGGCCGTATACGCGGCTCAACTTGCGGAAGCACTGGTGGGGTTTAAACATGCTACTGCAAGCCTACGGGGCTCGCCACACCACTGTCGAAAACACGATGTTCAATAGTTTCTCTTGGCCACACAGCCTGTCGAAATTAGAGACGGGAAGAAAATTCCCAACTTGTCAGAGAAAGAATGCTTCTCGACACCTCCTTTCGAAAGTTGTTGAATCTCCACACTGCCGGCTACTCCGGCTGCGCCATCGACTTCCCCTCGAAATTTGGCGAGGGGCGCGAGCGAGGTCGGAATGGACTAATGCTTGTCGCAGTACCCTCAGGCTTGTTCGCCTTTTTCCATCTTGCATTCATTCATAAGTGCGTCCATTCTACAGTGCTGTGTGGCTGAAGGGGGGGGGCAAACTGTTGAAGGGAGGCTGTCGAATTTGTTCTGACAGCTGTCAAGTCTTTTTTTTTGCCTTTCTACAGTGGTGTGGCGAGCCCCCATTATATTACGAGGAATGCACTTCTAGGTAATATGAGGAGGAATGCCCTTGGGAACTTCTGGCCCTTAGCCTACCAAATCCAGAAGGCGGCTGCCCATCCCACACTTCATAAGACCTTTGGCAAGCGTACTGACTGTCTAGTAGAACATAAAACATGCTTTACCCGAATGGCTGCGTCCCCGGGTCAAACCGGGGCGAATTTTTGACCCGGGGACGCAGCGGAACTGGGATAACAGTTCCTATACCATTACGGCTGTGAGAACAGAGTGGGGGGCATTTGATTTTGTCCGACTTGACTGGCTCTTGCGACCCTCCAGGCACAAAGTGAAAGGATATACCGCCCATCACCCCTGGCCTTTTATTTTTATTTTTATAAGCCTATTAAGATATTTCCTACTGGTCCTGGACCTGGCCTCCTGAGGAGCCCACGTTGAATTCTGACCCCCCAGGGGGGGTACCATCCCGCTATATTCGGAACGGACCCCCCTCTCTGCCCCTCCGGTCAGTCTCAACTGAATATAGCCGGGGGGGTGGTATAGCCCGGGGGGTCAGTATGGTAGCCCACGTTGAACTCTGACCCCCCGGCCAGTGTCCGGACCTATACTCACCCCCCGGGCTATACCATCCCCCACTATATTCAGAATGGGTCGGTGAAACCTGGACGAAACAGTCTGTCACAGTCCCACGTTCGTTATCCTCTTCTCCCTCTCTGCCCACGGATCATCGGGCATCTCTGTTTGATGATATACATATATATCCTCTTCTCCCTCTCTGCCTACGGTTTACCGGGCAGTTCTATTTGACGATATATATATATTATATCGTCAAATAGAACTGCCCGGTAAACCGTAGGGAGAGAGGGAGAAGAGGACAACAAACGAGGGGCTGTGACAAACTGTTTCGTCGGAGTTTCACCGACTCATCATACTGAATTCATTTTTTCGAGTTTTTTCTTTTCTTTTTTTCTTTCGCATTTGCGCTCTGATATTCTTGTGACAATATATACTAGCAGTCTGTAGAGTTTTCCATCTGGTGTGGGTGAGTGATTGTCTGCTTTGACTTTTGCCACAGGTACCTTGAGGGCAGTGGTTGGTGCCCACCTCAGGGTATCAGTTGTCGGGCAGTCGTTGATGCTTAACCACAGCCAGTGTTAAGGTGGATTATCACTTACAGTGTAATCAGTTAGGGGATTCTGCAGACTGTTGAGGGTTCAGCCTCCTGATGAGTCGGTGAAACTCCGACGAAACAGTTTGCCACAGCCCCTCGTTTGTTGTCCTCTTCTCCCTCTCTGCCTACGGTTTACCGCGCAGCTCTGTTTGACTATATATACTAGCAGGCTCTTTCTTTGGCTATGGTAGAATACACTCTTTTCTAATTCTCCTTTCTATCATTTCTCTTTTTCCTTTGCTTTGCTCTTCCCCATTGTTGGGGTGTTTCGTTTTACGGACCTACCGTATGGTTCCGTTTTTTCAAGTGTTGGTTATGATAGAATTGTTGGTATTTTTGGTACTCTTTGTCTGCATCCCGGTTGGTTTTGTCTCGTTGTTCGGTCCACATGGCGGTGTTTTCATGTGGGTTGTTCGGTCCACGTGGCGGTGGTTTCATGTGGGGCTTGTCATCCGGGTTTTTCCTTTTGGCATCATAGTTGGCTGGTTCCCATTGTTTGGCCTATCGAAGGGGGCGGTGATTTTAGGTGGGAATCGTCATCTGGGATTGTCTTTATATATTTTTTTGCAGGCAAGGGTGTTGATTGCTATCCTGGTTGGTCATTGTCCCGTCGTTTTAGCCTGTGACGTAGGGCCCGGTGCTTGCATGTGGGACTTGTCATCTAGTTTCTGTTATGTTTGGTTTTTGGCACCCTTGTCTGCATCCCGGTTGGTTTTGTCCCGTTGTTCGGTCTATTTTGGCGAGCGTAGCGGTGCTTTCATGTGGGACCCGTCATCCTTTTTTTTTTTTTTTTCGGCCTATGAGAGCATGAATGGTTTAGGAATGGGAATACCCACGTCTTGATGATGAATAAGGCCATCTGCTATACATAGTTTTTTTTTTTTTGGGAGACGAGTTTTGTCCTGGGTGGTCTTGTCCCGTTGTTTGGCGTGTGAAGGAGGGGCGGTGCTTGCATGTGGGACTTGTCATCCAGGATCCGATCCGTTTTTGGTGCTGTTGCTTGTTGCCCCTGTTTTGTTGTATTTGGCTGTTCCCTTCCTCTTTTCTTTGCCTCTTTGCCCTTTGGCTGTGTGCAAGTGGGTCGATATGACACACGGGGGTGGGGGCAGCCGCCGCTCAACCTACATCCACGTGGGCGGCCTTGTATGCAAGAGGTTCTGAACAGGGGGAGTTGTAAGTAAGAAGATAAAAATGAATTGATATCTTTTTTGTTTCCTTTTTTTTTTTTTTTTGCTTTTGCGCTCTGATAACTTTGTGTCAATTTTATATATATATCGTCACAAACAGAACTGCCCGGTAAACCGTAGGCAGAGAGAGAGAAGAGGACAACAAACGAGGGGCTGTGACAAACTGTTTATACCTACGGTTTACCGGGCAGTTCTATTTGACGATATATATATATACATATGTTTGTGACAATATATATATCATATATATATGTGACGATATATATACCGGGCATCTCTGTTTGACTATATATATACGAAACAGTTTGGCACAGCCCCTCGTTTGTTGTCCTCTTCTCTCTCTCTGCCTACGGTTTACCGGGCAGTTCTGTTTGTGACGATATATATATACTTTCTTTGTTTCGTGGGTGTTTTGGTGCCTTATGCGGGGTGTGAATCGACAGTCTGTAGAGTTTTCCATTTGGTGTGGGTGAGTGATAGTCTGCTTTGATTTTCGTCACAGGTACCATCAGGGTATCAGTTGTTGGGCAGTCATTGAAGCTTAACCACGTCAGGGGTTAAGGTGGATTATCACTTACAGAGTAATCAGTTAGGAGACTCTGCAGACTGTAGAGGGTTCAGCCTCCTCATGAGTTGGTAGGTGAAACTCCCATGAAACAGTTTGTCACAGCCCTCGTTTGTTGTCCTCCTTTCCCGCTCTGCCTACGGTTTACCGGACAGCTCTGTTTGACGATATATGGGTGGGGGCAGCCGCCGCTCAAGCACATCCACGTGGGCGGCCTTGTACGCAAGAGGTTCTGAACAGGGGGAGTTGTAAGTAAGAGGATAAAAAATGAATTGATATCTTTTTTGTTTCCTTTTGTTTTTTTTGCTTTTGTTCTCTGATACCTTTGTGACAATATATATACAACGTTTATATGTATATGAACTGACACCCCTTGAGTGTGGAGTTAATGTGAATTACTGTGCTCACCCGAATACAACCGTATGGTAATTCTTGCTGTATCTAGACTCAAAGCTGCCCCAAATACATACAGCTATAATGACTGTTCGTTGTATTTGGGTGAACACAGTAGAGGAACATATTCTCTTGATGTAATAGTAACTTCGAGTGTGGAGTTAATGTTAATTACTGTGCTCACCCGATTACAGCTATAATGACCGTTCGTTGTATTCAGGTGAACTCGTTTGTATCTAGACTCAATGTTTGTTGAAGTACTTACGTGATTTTGCCTGATCTTTGCATTGCCTTTGATGTGGTTGATTTTGCAGGAAAGCTAGTGCTGATTTAAAGGCCAAATGCATATTACGGGAGCAAGAGAGAACGGGCGGGGTGAGAGAGAGAGAGAGAGAGAGAGAGAGAGAGAGAGAGAGAGAGAGAGAGAGAGAGAGAGAGAGAGAGAGAGAGAGAGAGAGAGAGAGAG